AATCGGATTTATGTATTATTAAAGTTGATTCTGAATTTTTGAAAATGGTAACTTAAAAACTTTCGTGGGTATAATTTCCTCTTGTATTATAGCCACTTTCATCAAAACATTCAAAGTCTAACCTATTGGGACCTAGAAGAATTTGATTCTTCCAAACCAATCCAATTTCCCATAACGCAAGATTATTTGGTTCTCAACAAAATATGCCCCTATTTGGCCTCAATTATTTGACTTTTTAATTTTTGAAATAGTGTTTTTTTTTTTAAATGTGTGGTTAAAAAAGGAAAAAAACATTAAATTACGTATAATATTATTTTATTAAAAAATATTTGGTTGATAAGAAAAATGAATTATAATTTCAATGAGGACCAAGTAGGGGATATATACGATTATTTTAATGTACTTCATTTCATAATTAATCAAAGATTTCAAGTATGAGCATACTATACAATAAATTAGAGAGTAATATTATTTGTACATAATAATGGCATAAAAGAGAGAGAATTGAAAAAAAATAATAATAATAAAATAAAATTTAGTTTTTATTATTACAAAACAAATCAAGGGGTAAAAATGGCATTTCATATCTCAACAAAGCACATCAGAAAACCCTAGCACCCCCATACCCATTCCACTTCTCATACTAATCAGGCTTTTATATATTCTTCCTCCTCCACCGTTTCTCTCATTTTGCCACCTTAACTAATCAACCAGCGCCGCCGCCATCTACCCGCCGCTCCACCGCTATGGTCTCTCTATATGTCCCTCTATGTAGTTTTCTTCTCTGTAATTTTATGTATATAAACATATTAATGTACCCTCACTTATTCATGTGTATGAAAGCAGGCGTCAGACAAGAAGCTATCGAATCCCATGAGAGAGATCAAGGTACAGAAACTCGTTCTCAACATTTCCGTCGGCGAGAGCGGAGATCGTCTCACCAGAGCCGCTAAGGTACATTTCCTTCCTATCATATTCCTGTGCTCCCGTGCTCGACATTTTTCAATCAATATTGCGGTTTACTTTTACAGTTTGGTGTTTAATTTTCTATTTGTTGAAATCCTTTTCAGGTCCTCGAACAGCTCAGTGGCCAATCCCCTGTTTTCTCCAAAGGTAATTTTCTCAGTTTACGGTTTGCTGATATGAATTTTATTTTTATGCTAATTTAAATTGGCTCCCAAAAATAAAGAGCTTTGCTATTAAACTTGACTGAAATGAATTTTTCCAATTTGTAGTTCTGCAGTTATTTTATTATTGTTCGAAGGAAATATGACGTTGTATCATTATTTTGCTATTAAGCAATTGAAAATCATTAAGCTAATGTGGCATAGAATTTCTGTATATTGTCAATCTACAAATTTTGTGTATAGCTTCATATAAAGTTATTATTTGATCAAAATATACTAAACTAGAAGAAAATATAACCTTCTTAATAAGATTAGATTTTAAGAAATAATCTGCGTTATATCTCATCTTTCATATATAGTTCTCATATTCGTTTCTTGAAGTAATGAAAATTGGGTTCTTGATTTGGTTGAACATTGTGTTGTTTGTGATAAAAATATAATCACTACTTGATGCAATATTATTTTTTATAGCAAGTTCAAAATAATGCTCAAATGGTTTGGAACCCTACTTTTGAACCTTGATCCTTTCCAAACCTCCCATTATGTTAAAATATTAAAAAACCTCGATACATTTTCTCAACATTATTTTTTATTTTGGTTGGCAGCAAGATACACTGTGAGGTCCTTCGGGATCAGACGTAACGAAAAGATTGCATGCTATGTCACAGTCAGGGGTGACAAGGCAATGCAGCTCCTTGAGAGTGGGTTAAAGGTCAAGGAATATGAACTTTTGAGAAGAAACTTTAGTGACACTGGCTGTTTTGGCTTTGGTATTCAAGAGCACATTGATCTTGGAATCAAGTAAGTAAATAAATTACATTGGCTTTCTAATGTTAGCATATTTTCTTGTCCGCCCCAAACAACGTTTGATGATTATGCGAAAGGATTCAGTTGTAATTTTTAAAGATGAGCTTCTTGTGCTCTTCTGGAAAATTTTATTACCTGTGTTTTCAAACCATTTAGAGAAATATACTAGCACTAGAATATTACAGCATATTGTATCTGACTTGATTCTTTAAAGTCAGTAGATGTTATTGTTGTAATGCGACTAGTGTGTATTCATGCAAATTTATCTGGGTGTATTGGGTTGGTTGATCGTCATAGCTATGGATGGATGATATGCTTTACAATGTTTCGTATTTCCAAGTTGTTGCCTAACATTTTGCTGTTCTTATCACTGTGTAGCGTAAGCTAAATCGATCTCATAAAGTGATGATCGTGGGGATATGATTGTGATAGAAGTTAACAAAAAATTTTCTTGAAAAAGGTTACTGTACAACCAATGATATCTGCTCTTCCTCATTTTATTTTTTTATTGTTTTTAGGTATGACCCTTCAACTGGTATCTATGGTATGGACTTCTATGTTGTCTTGGAGCAAAAATAGAAACTATGTATTGTTCCCCTTCTACTTTGCCCAAATTAATTGCCCACCATACTAATTAGTTGCTAGACTAGAAAAAAGGGAAAAAAATAATAATACTATTCATAGTGAAGCATACTCAAAAGGAAATTGCCAAACAAGTTGCTGTCATGTTTTGGAAAATCAGCATGTAATCGAATGATTCAATAACTCCATCAAATCCAGCGCAAATCATGCTCAATATCAAAATTTTGTTACCCTAGGACCACCATATAAGAAGGGAACAATATAAGAGAAAGATACGTATAAAATACGTTCTACATTCCTGTCATTATTATCTCAACTTTCCTTTTAACTCGAGTTCTTGCTCGAGCATTGAAGGTTCTGCGTGGAAATTTTTGGTTACATGACAAAATTATCCTTCGGAAATTACACATTCACAGTAACAAACCTTATAGCATACAATTACACCGGCAATTGTCTCGGTTAATTTTTTTTTTTTAAGTGATGTCTAATTTGAGATTAAACTTTATATTCTAGTAAGAATAAACTGCACTTCCTTTGAATGAAACTTTTAAAATCACTGAACATTATTTTTATATTGTTAATTTTTTTGTTGTTGAGAAAATTGGCAAGTAATATAAAGTAACATCCCTCGAAAAACAATAAATGATAAGAAAAACAGAACGCAATCGACCAATTTGTAAAACCTGAAAAAACAATAGCAAAATAGCCAAGTCGATGGCTGCCATATCCCTGAATAACGGATATAGCAACAAAGACCATCGCTTGTCATAGATAAGAGTGATAAAATATTAAGCAGTATTTCTACGTTGGGTGCCTTTAGAAGAACTTGACTCAAACTTTGAACTACTCTTTATGCATTTGGGTTTAACTTTGTCGCTTGAAATCCATAGCCCTAGAAGGCCATGACAAGAGAATAACGATATTCATTGTGAAAACTATCGATAGTTGTCATAATGTATTAATAAGAAACTATCATATGTATGCTGCATGGCGACTATTGATAATCTTCACAAGAAATAGCATTACTTATGGCGAAAAACAAGTGATTCAGCCACTTCATAGTCAAATGTTTCCCTAACCCTCATCTATGCCATCACCACCCCCTTCCATGATCCCTCATGGTAGTTTCCAAGCTCAATAAGGCCCTCTCCAATTTTGATTATTGTATTCAATTAAGCCCTCGTTTGAGCTCCATTTTTTGGAAAAATAAAATTTGAAATTGTGATTTTATGGAGAATGCATGGTTAAAAAGTAGGAAAATATTTTTGATTTACGTACAAAATTATTTTATTGGGAGAATATGTGATAATTTTTAGATAATGGAGCTCGAACATGGACTAATTTTGTAGCTACGCCCCTAGGAAAACTGTCCACAAAATCATCGGCCGAGTCAGAATCTATCTACCAAAATGGATAGTTTAGAGCATTTCTAACCCATCATAATTGCACCTCAATTCACTAAAATTTTGGTGCAAATCTCCTCCACCCATTGCACCATTTTGGTGCAACACTATTCATTTGGACCAAAATGGTTAAATGCATTTTTACCTCTCTTCCACTTTGCACCAGTTTTTGTTAAGGGTATATTTGTCCATTTTGTTATACAATAAATTTTAATTTATATTATTATTATTATCACTACTACTACTACTATGTGCATTTGTAATAAATTTTAATCATTTAATCAAAAATAATTAATTGTGATTACTATTACGACTTTGTAATATTATGATATTGTGTTTGGAAATGTATTACTCTTTTTTAAAATTATGATTTAATATTTTCTTAGTTGTTGTATTTCTATTAGTTGTGCTACATTTTTAAATTTATTAATGAATTCAATATTTTTGTTAACTAAATGTAATTAATTATTTAATAATATATGTAGTAATAAATAAATAATTCTTGAGATAAATAAATTGTTGAGAATGAAAAAAATGAAGAAAATTATTAAACGCAATTCATTTGGTGTAGTGGGTTGGAGATATTTTTAATTTGGTACGAGATTTGATGTAAATTTTGGTGTAGAGTTGAAGATTTCAAGTATGAGCATACTACACAATAAATTAGAAAGTAATATTATTTGTACATAATGATGGCATGAAAGAGAGAGAATTGAAAAAAATAATAATAATAATAATAAAATTTAGTTTTTATTATTACAAAACAAATCAAGGGGTGAAAATGGCATTTCATATCTCAACAAAGCACATCAGAAAACCCTAGCACCCCCATACCCATTCCACTTCTCATACTAATCGGGCTTTTATATATTCTTCCTCCTCCACCGCTTCTCTCATTTTGCCACCTTAACTAATCAACCAGCGCCGCCGCCATCTACCCGCCACTCCATCCCTATGGTCTCTCTATATGTCCCTCTTTGTAGTTTTCTTCTCTGTAATTTTATGTATATAAACTTATTAATGTACCCTCACTTATTCATGTGTATGAAAGCAGGCGTCAGAGAAGAAGCTGTCGAATCCCATGAGAGAGATCAAGGTACAGAAACTCGTTCTCAACATTTCCGTCGGCGAGAGCGGAGATCGTCTCACCAGAGCCGCTAAGGTACATTTCCTTCCTATCATATTCCTGTGCACCCGCGCTCAACATTTTTCATTCAATATCGCTGTTTACTTTTACAGTTTGGTGTTTAATTTTCTATTTGTTGAAATCCTTTTCAGGTCCTCGAACAGCTCAGTGGCCAATCCCCTGTTTTCTCCAAAGGTAATTTTCTGTTTACGGTTTGCTGCTATGAATTTTATTTTTATGCTAAATAAAGAGCTTTGCTATTAAACTTGACTGAAATGAATTTTTCCAATGTGTAGTTCTGCAGTTATTTTATTATTGTTCGAAGGAAATATGACGTTGTATCATTATTTTGCTATTAAGCAATTGAACATCATTAAGCTAATGTGGCATAGAATTTCTGTATATTGTCAATCTACAAATTTTGTGTATAGCATCATATAAAGTTCTTATTTGATCAAAATATACTAAAGTAGAAAATATAACCTTCTTAATAAGATTAGATTTTAAGAAATAATCTGCGTTATATCTCATCTTTCATATATAGTTCTCATATTCGTTTCTTAAAGTAATGAAAATTGGGTTCTTGATTCGGTTGAGCACTGTGTTGTTTGTGATAAAAAATATAATCACTACTTGATGCAATATTACTTTTATAGCTAGTTCAAAATAATGCTCAAATGGTTTGGAACCCTACTTTTGAACCTTGACCCTTTCCAAACCTCCCATTATGTTAAAATATTAAAAAACCTCGATACATTTTCTCAACATTATTTTTTATTTTGGTTGGCAGCAAGATACACTGTGAGGTCCTTCGGAATCAGACGTAACGAAAAGATTGCATGCTATGTCACAGTCAGGGGTGACAAGGCAATGCAGCTCCTTGAGAGTGGGTTAAAGGTCAAGGAATATGAACTCTTGAGAAGAAACTTTAGTGACACTGGCTGTTTTGGCTTTGGTATTCAAGAGCACATTGATCTTGGAATCAAGTAAGTAAATAAATTACATTGGCTTTCCAATGTTAGCATATTTTCTTGTCCGCCCCAAACTCAGTTTAATGATTATGCGAAAGGATTCAGTTGTAATTTTTAAAGATGAGCTTCTTGTGCTCTTCTGGAAAATTTTATTACCTTTGTTTTCAAACCATTTAGAAAAATATACTAGCACTAGAATATTACAGCAAATTGTATCTGACTTGATTCTTTAAAGTCAGTAGATGTTATTGTTGTAATGCGACTAGTGTGTATTCATGCAAATTTATCTGGGTGTATTGGGTTGGTTGGTCGTCATAGCTATGGATGGATGATATGCTTTACAATGTTCCGTATTTCCAAGTTGTTGCCTAACATTTTGCTGTTCTTATCACTGTGTAGCATAAGCTAAATCAATCTAATAAAGTGATGATCGTGTGGACATGATTGTGTTAGAAGTTCTTTAACCAAAAAATTTCTTGAACAAGGTTACTGTACAACCAATGATATCTGCTCTTCCTCATTTTATTTTTTATTGTTGTTAGGTATGACCCTTCAACTGGTATTTATGGCATGGACTTCTATGTTGTCTTGGAGCGCCCTGGTTACCGCGTGGGGCGTCGTCGTAGGTGCAAGTCACGTGTTGGAATCCAGCACAGGGTCACAAAGGATGATGCAATGAAGTGGTTCCAGGTGAAATATGAAGGTGTTATTCTCAACAAGTCCTCCAACATTGCAAGTTAGTTTGATAGCACTGTTGGACTATCCTATCAAAGCTTTAGTCTTCATTTCCTAGACCAGGATTTGTTACTTTTTGAGCCGAAACTTTTGGAGAACTACTTTTATGTGTTTTGCAGACGAGTTGATTTTTTGTCGGAGGTTAATTTAGTTGTATGATTATCAGTTAGAATGGCTTTTAAATGTGATTTCAATGACAATCATTGGCATGCTTTGAGCCTAACGAAACCTTTGAATTTTCGTTTCCAAACATATGTGACACGATAAGCTAATGTGTCCTAAAGTAAAGAATCAATCTTAATATTCTTGGAGTTGCATAGGATGTAATGTCTTGATAATGCTGGACTCAGAGGAGAAATTCATAAATAATTGAAAAAGAGAGAACAATCAGGAAGATTTAAGAAAATATGCATAACTTTTAGCTCGAATGTCGAATTTTTGTCCATGAGTGCAATTTGGAAGCGTTTTTCAATTTTGCACATTTTTTTTAAGACAATGTCGAACTTTTTGGGTCAAATTTTGTCGTTTAGAGCTTTATTTAAACATTTTTCCGTTTCAAGTTAATTTAAGGATATTTTTGTCATTTTACAGTATTTTAATTTTATTCGAGTTTGTTTACTAATTTTAGTTTATTTGAATTTGTTTATAGAATTCGAATTTCACTTTGTTTAGGAATTGTTTTGAGTCTATAAATAAGCATTAATGTTGTAAAAATAATTCATTAGATTCTTGATTAATGAAATATTTTAATTTTCCCATTTATTGGTGAATTTCAATATTTGTTTGGTGAATTCATAACAGTTATCACATCAGTTTGAGCAAAATTCGAGCGAACACTCGTTCGTTTGTTACGAACAAGACATTTTTATTATTGTTCACATTTCCGTCCTGCGTCACTTGAATATGTTTTTGTCGCTTGCTCTTTGCCTTACTCCAGCACGAGATTTGGCTTATTATCCCCTTTTTTCCTGCACACGAGTTACTCAATGGCTTTCCATAGATTTCCGTACTTATATTTATAGCAGTTGCTCTGTTCTTAACTGGATTTGTTTCTTGCATCCAGTTTTTTCATCCCACATGTTCTTCATGCACCTGTAGTCAGCAACCGTTAGTGCCTTTTTACACGTACATCTAACCTATAATTTTTGGCATTATCTGCAACATTTTTTTACACTAATGGCCACTATCCTCAACAAGTTTTCTATTTTTCGGTTAAGTTGACATGGGACCTCATTCGGTGAATAAAACAATAGTGCTACGTCTTAAAACCAAAACACAAGAAAGAGTAGCAACTCTTCATTGTAGTCACCCCCACCCCACCACCGTAATCCCTACGCATGTCCCCTCCAATCACCGTCAACAATAGTCATCTCCCACTGCTGCAATCCCCAAATGCACCACCCATCATGACAATCGCGCAGCATGCTACTCCCTCAGCTCGAGTCTGCTTTAATTCAGCTGCCGCTGGTCTCTAGTAAACGATTGCCATACATGCTAGAATCATGCAGGCTCAGAACGATTGTCCTACATGCTAGAATCATGTAGGCTCAGCAACTATCAATTAAAAGTACAGGTAGGAGTTTTGGCTCAGAGTGAAGGGTTTCGATCTCCAACCCCAAAACCCCCTAGAAAGCACCCTTGATAACAAACTCCCATAGGGATTTGTATCGTTCTGATGCAAAGGGAATACCTAAAGAAATGTTACATATTTGTTCTTTCAACTGTTTCTTTCTTCGGCCATGGTAGTTCTGTAACTCAGACATTCATCACAAGGTGATTTTCTACGAGCACGGGGGCATTCTTACCCTTGTTTAATCAGCCACGTGAAGTACACGTCATAGTAGTGGAAAATTTGGATATGAACTTTAAGTTGGAATGGCATTTGCCAACTTCTAAAGCAGTCGGACAGCTATGTCAAAATAAGAGGTATAGGATATAAGTATTAAAGGCGCTAAGATTGAAAAATCACGCCCAGAATTGAGCAAAGAAAACAGAGTCACTCATTCTTCAGTAACTAATAAAATAGGAATCAAGAACCATCACCTTTGGCAGTTGTCAGGAACTAGTTATTAAGGATCTATAGCCTATAATCTTTTTATCAAACCCATTGGAGTTTGAACAAAAAGATCAAAACTTTCCACATAGTGGGCAAATCGTGCTATTAGATCAAAGTACATTCGATCACTCGTTGACATTGGATAACTTGTGTCATTTGAAGCTGGAATGTGGTGAAATAAAGCTTTATCGCCGAGCCAGTAGGTTCAAATGCTTTCAGAGTTTTGCAGTGTCATTGGAGAGACCTCTAGAGAATTTTTCCTTTACACCTTTGCAATCCAATATTGAGGAAAGAACGATAACTAAATCATAACACACACAATGATGGACGAAAACAGACATTGTAAATATTAGAACCAACTGCTAGATGTAAAAGCTGTGGAGTGCGCACAAATTCATCTCTCTTTCCCATGTAAAATGCCTCAAAACTAAACATACAACACAAGTGCATGTCAAAACCTTATCTAAGGTGCAAGTCATTCTCCTTGATCCAAATTAGTTCCATACAAACTTTCGAATCTCAAATGTTTTAGATAAAGAAGCCTCAAACATACTAGAAACATGTACCAATATCAAGAAAGCGAGGACATTTCACGGGATTATGAGCTTTTTTCCAGCGTAGATGGTGTCCCCCATAAGCCCATTTGCTTCCTTTATTGCGTCAATTGAAACCTAAACTCAGTCCAGTAAAACAAATAAGTTAAAAATACATATCCAAAAACAAGAATAAGATGGAGAATTTATATACTACAGACGTCAGCAAAAAGAAATAAATTAAGACAAGTGCAATTGTATGTACCCCATATTTTCTTGATAAGCCCCAAAGAGTATCTCCTTTGACAATCTGTATAGTTTTATGTGAAGGTTCCACCACATTTTCCTCAACCAAAGTAGTCACGGGATCCTACATAAACATCAAAAAGTAATGAAGACAAACGCTAAAACTCCAGATTTTTGCAATATCCATCACACAAAGCTCCACGAAACAGACCAAAAGACGTCAACATTGGTATATTATGCTCTACATTGCAATATTTTTTTATGGGAATGAATTACAGGTTACTAACTTTCTATGTAAAAACCTACAAAACAAAATAGCAACAATACTAGAGAGAGTCAGTGTTGCCTTAAAAACGGCATCTTGGTGCTGTGACAGCTGAATAGGGGAAGCATTGCAATATGAATTTTCAATTTCAGCATGGTCTAGTGTCAATGTAGGCTATTGTGATTGTGATGGATCTCGATTACAGGATTAGCAATGAACTATATGAAATGAGAAAAAAGATTTATGTAGCCAAACTTCAATTTATTAAGGCTTAGTTTGCTGTCATTGTTTTAGTATACTCACACACGTGATTGCAATATCAAAATACCAGTAAAATTAATGTAATCCTTGAAGCGCAGCATAGTGAAGCATTTGCAACCATTGCTTATTCATCAAATAAATGTAAAAGCTTACTTCTATATTCAAAACACATCTACTTATACGTATACAACATTCAAAAACCAAAAAGAAAATCGATATAATGGTACAAACAGTCGTACAAGAGAAAATATATTTAAATTCCAGTATTTTTACCTGAAAAATTGGTTCTTTGAGGGGTGGCAATTCAGGGGACTGTAAGCAGGGGTTTTGACCTAGTTGAGATGGGGGCTGGATCCGAGTTGAATCCGTGAAGGGTTCCTTTTGGAGGTCGGGATTTTTGTTGAAGGGGTTAAGGGCTTTGAGAATGCTCATAGCGATTCCCGAAAAGACCACGAATCCGGCTGTTTTCGCCACTGTGTTTTCTATTTCATTGTTGTTGTCTCTTCCGTTGCTGCCATCGGCGGCGCGTGGGGTATTCGACATGGTTTTTGTGCCAGCCCGTTTGGGTCGTAGGGTGGCAGGGTTGGGGGTTTGGTTTTGGACTTTCAGACACTTCCGTACGTGGAAATGAGTTCTCTTGAACATCCATTTTTAAGTATTTTCCCACAAAATTTATACTTTGATTAAATTCTTCTTTTTTTTTTTTTTTTTCAAATACCACTAAACCCCTTATATATTAATTAATATTTCCATATATAGGGTGTGTTTGATGGATATTATTTTGAAAGAATATATTTTGAAATAGTAGATTGATGGAGAATGTGTTGTTGAAAAAGAAGGAAAAGTTATTGACGTGATGAAAAATATTATTTTAATAAAGAATGTGTGGTTGAAAATGAGTAGAAGAATGAGAATGAAAATTTTAATGGATACCAAACAGGGCCATATAATCGATTTTTTATCCTTAACTTGTCTCGCATGGTAATTGATTAAGTACATGAATCTTGAAATGCACTTGTTAATAAAAGTTGTGCTATCTTAAACATATTTCAACAGGATCACGATTCATTTGAAGTTGTGAGCACGACAATCATAATATAATTTGTCCCTTTGAATTCAATTGTATATTTGAGCTTAGGATAAAACTATTTGTGCATGCGCGGGGCCCGCTTGAATAAAAAACTTCCAAAAATGTGATCTCCACACCCTATTACCAGTGTAGGTAAAAGGTTAAGTAAAAAAAATTAGGGTAGTGCTATAGGTACAGGGAACAAAGTACAGAAACCATACAGGAATTCAAATAAAATGACGTGGCCAAAGAAAAAAACAAAAGAGTAAACAGTAAAATGAAAACAACCGGGAAAGACCTGAGAAAACCCCCTTGTTTCTTCTACTCCTCATTTACCCCCAAAAACGTGGTGGAGAAGCCCGACACTCACCTTTCTCCATCTCCGGCCAACCTCCGACTGCCCGATCGGCATCCACATCCGGCCACAGTGTAATCACGAAAGCCCACCAAAAACGACATCAAACCGAAATCTGTGCTGATTGCTGAAGAACATCCTTCAAAGATGTTGGCACAGGGATGAGTTTATACAAATGAAAGCATGTACTGCTGCTATTTTGTGGCTTGCTGTGAAAGCACATTAATGAAATTAATGTACCCTAAACCATGCTTATTAGTTGGAACTTTATGGTAGTTAAACTTACAGTTGTTTCTCATTTTATGAGTTTACTTTCTCTACATGATAAACCCCACTGCACTTTGTTTCTCCTTTTATGACTTGGAAATTTATCCTACTGCACTTAATACATTATAAATGATATTGGATTGGAGCAATTTTTACAAACTTATTGATTAAGAAGGAAGAAATTGATTAAATTACCTTTTTTTAGATCATTCTCAAGTTCCCAGTGTTTCAATTATTGTTTTTCTGCACTTTGTGAAAGCATGATATGATAGATTTTCCGAATGCTCGTTCTTTCTTCCCTAGCGGTTTATGTTTGTCCTTGAAATGTATCTCAAGCTTAATTTAATCTTAAAGAGTACCCTATAAGATACATACCTTGATAATATTGTTTTAAAAAGATTGAGTGCTGTTAATACTTGTGTTCGTATTTATTTTATATAAATCACTCTGCACCCGGATATACATGGAAATGACTTGGTTGGAATAGAGAATTATTTATCATATTATCTGATTTATTAATCTGGACAGAATTGCGACAAGTCTCTTCTTCGTAGCTAATCCTCCAGTGATTTAATGCCTCATGTAGTAAAGACATCTTGGTGCAATTTTCTTGTATGTATGTAGAGTTGCAATTCACTGATGTCTCGACAAAAGCCAAGAAATGTTGCTGTCAATTACCTTCCTGTTCTAATCAGACATATATGTCCACCCGCGAGCGGCGCCTAATATTTTTCGCAGGACTTCGAATTCAGGCAAAACGGTGAGTGCCGTTGGCGTCGATCGGTGGTGACGGTGAGTACAGCTGGCGTCACCCGGTGGTGCCGGTGGGTGCGATCGACTGGTGGCGACGGTTGGTGCGGTCGCTTAGGGATGTTCACGGTTGCGTAAATATTGGGGGAAAATTGGAGTTCAAATGAGTTTTTTGTTTTGGATCACTTTTCATTTCTTTGCCAGGGCTGTTGGCGTCGGCCGATGGTGCCGGTGAGTGGGAGGGATCTTCACGGTTGCGTAAATATTGGGGAAAACTTGGAGTTCAAACGGGTTTGTGGCTAATTTTTCCTTTTCTTTTGTTCAAATGGCTGACTTATACTTGCAGCTAATTTTGACTAATGGCTTTTCTTTGCCAGCTCATCATTTTTTAAATTCCTGTATGTGTTCGGTGAAAACTTTCTGTACTCACAGCATAATCCAAAAAATTATGTACGTTTAACATTGCCCTTGAACTTATTGGACCATTAACTCTTGTAAAAATCTCTGCGACAACCCCCTTCATGTACAAACAGTAAAGGTTCCTCTAGTCCTCTGGAGCATAGTTCAATAGTGCAAAGGACGGGAGTGAGGTAGTTTCAACTAAGCTGGCAGCCGTAGTGTGAGGGTTCGATTCCTACCTCTTACAAGATATGAACTTTGACTATTTATGGGGCACCAGTATGACAGCTCTTGTACCCTGAACTGTTAAGATACATCCCACAATTTACCTCATCCACAATGCTCTAGAGGTGAGAAGGGGCGGGTCCGTCAAGGTTGGGATTGAACTTTTTTTTTTTTTTTAAATGATTGAAGTACAGATTTTTTTTTACCAGAAATTTGAATTCTTACTCACGTAGAATGGACCTCATGTATAAAATAATGAAAACACAAAAGTTCCCCCCCCCACCCACCCACCCCCCCCAACCAATTGTTGTGTCTATTCTATAAAGAGTAATGCCACATGTACATAATGGTTCACATAATTACATGTGACATGTGATTTAACCTTTAATTTAAATTTCACACTTACACATTAACAAGTGGATGATTGACACGTCAATATTACATGGACCATTATGTGAATGGTTATGAACACCAAGCATTATTCTTCCGTAAATTCCTGTACTTATAGCAAAGCTCCTTTTTTTTTAAGTAAAGGTTCCTCTAGATTCTTGGAAAATGAATGGCCTTCAATTAGCCAACTCAGAATTTTCCCATTTTCCGTTTAAATTTTTTCCCTCCTCATAAATTTGAACATTTCCATTCAACACACAAAAAATATCCCAATATTTCCACTTCTCAATACTTTTTTTCTTAGTTTTTATGTACAGAAAAATTTGACACTGTGTAGTTTTGATTCTTTTTTCATGCTGAGGCGATGGCTCAGTTACTCTCACCCGTTTGTACAGATACACCCAAATTCCAAAACCCAGTAAACAGTTTTTGTTCAAGAAACAGATATTCTAGAGTAGCTAAAAATAGTGTGAATTGGAGCAGTTATGGAGGAAGAAGAAAAAATTCTGGCAGGATCAGAGTAGCATCTCAGGATTCAGTATCAAATCGAGACATTGCTGATGATTATTATGCTGTGTTGGGCCTAGTAATATTTCAAACTTGAGTTTTTATACTTCAGTTGTTTATTAATCCCGATTGAACATCGGCTTCTTTCTAGATTTTTCAGTACTTCAGATATGAAAACAATAATCAGGCTATAGCTACTCCTCTTAAAAGATGAAACCCAAGATTCAATATCATAAATATTGAATCTTTTATTCAAATAAACAATGGTTGCTTTACTGAATGCCTAATTTAGGTGAAATATAGAATGTGTACTTCCTAGTGCAAATTGAATGAGAACTTGTTTTAGGTTGACAGATTTTTGGGCTTAGGATGCCTACTTTTGATATCAACAAAACACCTCATGACAAGTTTTGGCATCAACAAGACACAGTGGCGCTTGTTAGAAAAAAAATGATCATTTAATCTCAACGGTTATTGTATTTGATACAATTCTTTATTTTCCTGATTTAAATTAGATACTCATTACTACATTTGCTTATTGGCCTACATTACCAGCTTCAAGATGCCACACCTGAGCAAATAAAAAAAGCCTATTATAATTGCATGAAAGCTTGCCATCCAGACCTGAGTGGCAATGATCCAGAAACCACAAATTTTTGCATGTTCATTAATGAGGTTTATGAGGTGGGTTCTGTTCTTCTAAAGTGTTGCTTTAAAGATTAAGAGTATTCTTTGAATTTTGTGTTTGTGCTTTTACTATAGAGTGACTTTTGCCGTTTAGGTTCTCAGTGATCCTGTGCAGAGAATGGTTTATGATGAAATTCATGGATATGCTTTGACTGCAATTAATCCTTTCTTGGATGATTCCAGCCCAAAGGATCATGTATTTGTTGATGAGTTTAGCTGCATAGGTACGCATTTGAGAACATAATTTCACAAGAATCAAGGGTCACCGGGTCAGTTTTTCCCTGTTCTGTTGATATTTTAATTTTGAAAAAAAAAAAAAAAAAACTTTTGAATCTTCAAAATTGGTGTACATTTTGTTTCTTTTATTATCATACATATATCTATCCATGGTGGAAGTAAAAATACTTTGTGATACTAAATTGAAATTGGGGCTTATTTGATCCCAATTATGGAATAAGAAAATACCAATATTTGAACTGAAAGCATATGATCTTTTGTCATTTCAAAATGACCTCTGTGTATGTTGTTATACCTTTGAATTGACAGAATCTCTCATTCTTTCCATTTCCTTATGCAGGCTGCAAGAATTGTGCCAATGTTTGCCCAGATGTATTTGGCATTGAGGAAGACTTTGGAAGAGCTAGAGTTTATAGCCAGTCTGGAAAATCTGAATCAGTTCAACAAGCAGTTGAAAGCTGGTAGGTCTTGGTTTATAGATTAAGTTCTATATTGCACCTTGCTTTTTGAAGTTGGGAAACTTTATCACTGCATATTGAAGGAAAACAAAGTAAGAACTTCAGGTTTATCCCTCTATTCCACAAACACATGCAATAGAGTTTTTCTTACCCTAAAAGACCGACCAACAATATATTCCTGTCTTGGTATTGCCATAGATGAATGAAATTGCTTTTATTTGTTCTAGGGGAGATGCGTGATACAAACTGCATAACTCTTAATGAATATCTAATTTTCACAACTGGAATTGCTTGGGTATCTTGGTTATGCTGTACAGAAATCTTTTAATAGCATATTGTTAATGACAAATATAGTAATTTATCCTGTAATCTTATGGAGAACATAACTAAAAAGATTAAATCCTAGGAAAGTTGACTTTTGAGTGTTTAAATTTCTATACTTTTTTTTTGGTGCGGCAGACTATCCAATGTCAGTGTGAGCACCCACTCGTGACTTGACCCAGTTGATCAAAGCAGCTGGCAAAGACATATACCTGCTTGTGAATTTGTCTTGGGTGTCAATTTTTTTAATTAATTTCAATATCAGGATAAGTTTGTCTTTGAACTTATAAATTTCAACGAGGAAGTCATGTTAACTGCAATAGTTTCTAGTCTTTTAGAAGATTTCACGGTTTCTTGAAAATTCTTTTGTTATACTGACTGAATTATTTTTCATCTAAATCGTACATCACCATATAGAATGTAAATTCTCTGTTTTATGTTCAAATTTTTCTTAGGACTTTTATAAACTTTTGTAGTTAGATAACTCTTACATCATCATTTCAGCCCAGTGGATTGCATTCATTGGACTTCTGCTGCTCAGCTGTCGTTGCTTGAAGACGAAATGCGTAGGGTAGAAAGAGTAAACGTAAGAATACTTATCCAGTGTGTAATTTCTTTATTTTGTCTACATTTTCAAGGACTTGATCTATCTTCTTACTAATATTATGTTTATGCTTGGCAACTTTATTTCGTGTTAACTGGTGATTAGTTTTGAGCTTATATAGTGTTTGTACCAATATTTAGACTCAGGATTTAGGGAAGGTAGTCTTCAGGATTATACCATAAAACATAAATGACCCTTGTTGCATTCTTTCATTTATTTTGAATGGGGGCTTCTATTTTCTTGGTTATGATGAGCTCAGACTTGTTTGTTCATATTTTTAAACATACATTCAACAAATGAGGACGCTGTTCACAAACAATTAGTTCTTAAAGAAATTATTTTAGGTAAGAATTACTGTCTAATATTATGATGAATTTAGCAACTAGTTTGCGACAGTCTTATGTGGTAATACCATGTCTTATAATTTGCACATTGAGAGCTGTCAAGGACGTCAATTGCCTTCTCTATCATACATGTCAAGTTGCTTAAAGTAAAACAAAGAATATTTCTAAATATTCAAATGCTCTTGAACAAGTGTAGGCTTAAGTGATATGTAAATGTGTTTTTGTTAACCGATTGGTAATGCTAGAGCACTCCTTTTGGCAAGGGCTGTAAATAGACTTGGGCCATGTGTGACTTGCTCGAGGCTCTGCTCATGTTAAGATTTTTCAAGATCGGCATTAGAATTGAAACATATTTTTAAGCTTGTAAACTTTTTTGACTTGTCGCCATTTGTTGAAAACTACAAAATACAATGAAATTCAACAAAAGAAATGTCTTTTGAGCTTGCTTGAAGAATAGACAAGCCAAACTATAGCAAATTTTAAGGCTTGTACGCGATGTGGTTGAGTTTGAATTCCTTAAAGCTCAGCTCGACAGGACTCCTTACAGCCCAACTTAACATATAAACCAATATGAACAGCCTTTGCAAAATTCATATTCCATGTGTTCCAGCTTGGTCATGACACCAGGAAACATTCACATTGTGTTTTATGATTTTGGACTACATGGAGACTAGGATATCTAAAAGTAGATTTGGGATCCCATAAGCCAAAATGGATAGTGGATACATGGGCTCATATTAGTGTTATGTGTGGGTGGAGTTCTTGCCAGCAGGTCAACAAGTCATGCCATTGCTTTGCACCATCTGCTTCAAGTGTCCAAGTTTTGGGGTTGGAGCTAGACTTATCATCTAACAAATAGGAACTTTTTTATATTTTATGCTTTCTTTTACAGGGCATAGTGTCATACTACTTTGATCTCCAAGATAAGTTATGACTATGCATGCATATAAAAATGTGCTTCTTGATAGCTGATTTTGTGACTTTTTTTATTGACCGTCAGGTTGCCTTGATGCTCTCAGGAATGGGGTCATCAGGTGTGGATGTCTTCCGCATGGTAAGATTCATTTTTTCTTCTACCAATTTCTTACGATACAATTTTAGGGTCAATTAGCTTGTTAATGTCTTGATCTCCCGGTAACATTGTTTTCTTCAGATTCAAGATGCATGTTCTGTCCAGAATAAAGTTTTTATTTATTTATTTATTAATAAATGTAAATTTGTATTGATCAAAATCTTATGTACAAGTACTTCAGGCATATTCGGGCAAATAAGATCAAAAGATGTACAAACGATAAGATTTAAAGACCCAATGCTAAAGACTAATGAATCAAAACATGAGGATACAATGAAAATATAACTTTGTATACACGTGTTTTGATCCATCTCACGATACTATCAGAATGTGGTCTAAGATCTTAAAAAATCTTCCTATTTTGTGCCATCCATATGTGGTAAACGGTGCTAACAAGTGCAATTCTCTTGGCTTTACTTTGCCAAGATGTCGGATCTGCCCCCGTGGGGATGAGCTGAACGGACATTGGAAGAATAAGTGCGGGGCAGATTTTGCTGTTGCTCCACAAAGAACACAGCTTCAGTCGATATTTAAATGCAACAACCTGTCCTTAAGTGACCAGCTTAGATTGGGCACTCAACCACAAAATAAGGGGTGTTTTGGAGTGATGTAGGATCTCCAAACATCCACAGCCCACGACTTTTTAACCCCTCATATGCCCCAGCTCTGCAAAACTTAGCAGTGCACTTCGACAGCCTATCCAAAACTGCCTGAACGGTCTGTTCAGGGCCGGCTAGCTGATCCCTGATTTCCTGCTAGCTGAAGCCTCGAGTTTGGTTTTATATTTTCTTATAATTGCTTCTGTATTCGTACACATCGATTAGATATGCATTTTGACATTATTTGTATCTGTTACATGCTAAAAAAATACTGCAGAAAAAGGTACCACTTAGTGTTCTTCAGTTCAAGTCATTTTTGCCTTTTATTGTTATTATTTGTCAATTTTTATGAGGATAGACTTGAGTCGAACTGTTTCATCTTTATATGTCTGCAAATACTTAGGTCAAGGAACTTTAAATGGTCAATTCATTATTATTTTTTGGGTAATAATTTAATCTTCATTTAATGTGGTATCTGGATTTTATTTGAATAAAAGTTACTGTTAATGTTGCAGGCAAGCTCTAGATGGGAAAAGAGACAACTCAAAGTCTTGGTGAGAACTCTAACTAAAAGATGGTGCTTGAAGTTTTATTCCAAGGACTTCTTAATGTTTCTTGGTTGCAGAATATAGGAGATAGGTATTTATAGAAGAGAAAATACATTCTTAAACTTAAATGCCCTTGTAAGACATTTTTAAGCTCTCTAAAACAATTGTAGAATGGCAAACCTGGTATAAAACATCAGAATTAGTGAAAATTTATTCGATGAATTATTATTAGCTTCACCATAATTTATACAGTTGAGCTTGGCTGGATATTCTGTGAAGCTTTCAAAATTTAAATCTACTGGTGAGCTTGATCCATTGGATTATGGAATGCATCAATTATTAGTTCCTCAACTGCGACATAAGTTGTATCAATGATTGCAAGAGTAGGACATTGAACCACCCATACATGGCTCGGCCTAGACGAGTTCCTAAAGTAATACATTGCTAATATCATGATCCCACCTTTTCTACTTTCATTTCGACTATCTCATTTGTTGCAGGAACAAGCTAAAACGAGGATGACGAAGCAGAAAGATTCTGATATAACTCAATCATATTGGAACAACCTTTGGGGCAAACCCAAAGACCGTGAAAATCCAGGTTTTCTAAGAACTTTCTAACAACCTTAAATTCAGTTTGCACATCATATGAATTTCGTATAGATGAAAACTAGTGTAATTTATTCACCTGCTCCTAAAGGAAACTACTAATTTTTGACCACCTCAAATTTGAATCTAACTGAGTATGTCTAAACTTTCTCATGTCCTCATATTTGAAAGTGTTTGTCGTAAATTCTACTAAAATATCTTCGGAATGATTCATGAATGCTGCATGTGGTTCCGAAGGGGCTATTTTGATAAAATGGAGGGCTCTCACAAACTGACAGAAATGAGAAAACTATCAACCCAAGTTCTTTTTGACCAAGCATCATAGAAATTCTTATGCTTGCACTACATATTTTGTGCCTTTTCGTACTTTATGTATGAGTATACACAAAGCACAAAAATGGGGTTCAAAGAAAGGTCTCTGTGTATGCCAAATGTGGTCGAATCTGCCTGACTGAAACGTTGGAAGTCTATAGTTCATAAAGATTTAAACTCTTACATGTAAATTAATTTGAATTCTTATTCCCCTTTGGCTTATGGATTGTGTAATCTGCTAAACGTTGCTAAAGTTTTAGTGTTTGTCGCAGAGAAAGAAGTGAAAGAGAGGGCACGACGAGCTGCAGCAGCTGCTCGAAGATGGAGGGAGTATTCTCGACGGGGAGCTGACAAACCTCCCACCTTCAAACTTCCTGAGGCAGCCTCTATAAGGAACAGTGAGCGGTAAATTTGACAGCATTTTGCAAGTATATATGTATATGATATTTTACTGGAGACATGCCTAATGCATTGTTCTTACCGCGTAGTTTCATCAAACATCGTATATAATCCTGCAAATATTTAGCTCAGTAATCATTGACAGATGGAAAAATCTTAATGTAACTTCATATTATCTCAACATGGATATGTCGTAGTTAATTGTTTAAACTATGAAACTATTGAAGGCAGCATTTAAATGAACGTGTAAGAACTTATACTTTTTATGGTATCAATATAAACAATATCTGGATTGTGAAAAAGTTGACATGTATATATGTGTGGATGTGTTCTAGAAAACGTAAGTTATGATTGGATAGCAACACAAACCTTCAAGCTTTTTACGAGCTTTGTCTAGGTAAAGCGTGAGTGGCTATACATATAAGTCAAACTTCGCACCTAGACATGCTTTTAGAACACTGTTGATATTCCAAATCAAAATCAATAGGTTCTTGTATTAGTTCGATTTCTTCTTCTTTTCTTTTCTTTTCATAGAAAAGTAGTTTCGTTTTCACAATTCTGAATGAGAATTTGGTATGTCACGTTCTTAAGGTATCATATGATGTCCATCCTTATAATTACAATATAGAAAATTCTAAACGTATAGGTACTATGATTTTCAAATCAAATTCAAACTATCAATAACACATATATATGAGTATCAAATAAAGCTAGAACCAGACTTCAAACAAATTACTAATCCTTTATTGAAAATAACATTTTAAAGCCTAATATCTATAAACCCTAAAATATAATATTAATTTCTGTGTGTTATCTCGATATTAATGAGGTAACATGTAAGGTTGACATCTCTTCAGATTAATAAGCAGTCGTTTTTGACCATTGCCTAAACAATTATTCTTTCCTCATTATTAAATAAATAAATAAATAAATTATATTAATAATCTCTTATATGGTGATATGTGATCCCATCTCATTTTTTTAATAAGTAATATTTTATTAATTTTTTTTTTAGTATGCTTAAGGCAATAATCGATGTTATGTTATCATAAAATTATAAACTAGAATACATGTTCGGCAAATTATACTATTGACGAGAACTTAGAAGGATTATTCTAATGGTACATTACCACTTACACAAGGGTGTCCATAATGGACACCCGGCACCTCCTTATTGAAGGGAGTGCCAACCCCAGCAACCCTCCCTCCAATGAGGAGGCGCCGGGTGTCCATTATGAACACCCCCGATGTAAGAGGTGATGTACCTCTAGCATTTCCCAACTTAGAATAGGGATAGCTAATTTGGCTCCACGATCAAGTTAAAAGCCATAGTTGCATTAAGAAACATGATGATAGTTGGAGCACAAGTCACGTCTCTTTAATTTTTAGATGAGTTATATACTATATCGAGTACTTGACATATTTCAGATGTGGATATGAATTCTAAGTAGACCATAACGTATATTAGCTGGTAGAGCCTCTTGCGTTGACTTCTTCAACTTACATAAAAAACAAATTTGGCATAAACAAATTTCCTAAAAAAATCTTCCAAGTTGCAATTTCATTCCAGTGGGTTATGGGGATGGAGTGGGTCCATACTGTTCAAGTGGAGGAAAATTATGTGTCCTAAGGACGTGTTGACTCTGATAATTCTTAAATCATCAAACATTAAATTCTGCAGATTTTCATACGCGTACAGATCCGCACAAAGTGGGGGAGTTAAGATGATAAGTAGGACCCACTTTATTTATAATCATATTCATATGGAGAGATGTTACTTGTACAAATTTTTTTACACATTGTTTGACAGAGACTAACGTGGCATGAACACCTTAACATCCGTCAACAAATGTATAAAAACATTTATGTACAAGTAAATTCATTTATACGTTAGTTGCCTTCATTGGTATTTTATTAAGACGTTTATGTTGTATGTTGATTTTAAATGAATAAAGAAAAAGTTGACATTTCGACTTGTAGTGGATATGATTTTTGTGGGATCACAATGACTTGGTAGACAAGCGAGTTGTTTCATAAATTGGTTAGCCATTTCGTTCTTTTTAGAAACAACCGCAGTATCCCGACAATGTCAAAGCTCAATTCCCTGGGATTAAAGATCCTCGACATCATCACCAATTTATGGGTCAGTTCCTAGGGTAGACCCTGGGTTTCACTGTTCCATCTGGACAATGAGTTACACTACATGTATCCTATATTCTGATCACAATGGAAGATCTAAGGCCGTCATGATTGTTCAAATGTCGTGTTTGTACTCATCCCTCGTATTATCTCAACTTGAAATTGGGTCATCCCATGTACAATTTTTTTATAGCATTAGTATCTAATAAACATTTTTCCTTCCATCTGAGCCCATGGTGCATGAAAAACGTACTGCTATTTATCGAGATTGAATGTATTTCGTTAAAAAATTATTTCTGTCAAATTTACTATCATTTTTTGAGAAAATAAAATCTTCTATTCTCGATTGAAGATTTATGGTTAATAAAATGGGACCTGGCTAACATCATTCTATAATTTTGTGCCCGTTTGAGCCCCATTTTTTGGGTTAAAAATGCACTTTGGAACAGTAGATTAATGAATAACGTGTGATTAAAAAATAAGGAAAACAATTTAAATTTTCGTGTAATATTATTTTATTGAAAATTGTCACGCTATATGTACATAGGTGTGTACATAGGGGTTGACATAATGTGAATGCAGTGATACCCATGATACTGTAGCATAGGCCCCACCCAACTCACATTATGTTAACATCTATGTACACACATATGTACACATAGATTAATTCTGGTAGGTTTTGATTGATATGAGATAAAAATCATGAACTGTGCTACTTGTACATAATGTCGTGTCTATATCGATATCCACCCCCTCACATGGAGGGAGATCACTTTGGATATATTATATTTTATTTAAAGTGGATCCCCCTACCATATGAGGAGGTGGACACAATTATGAACACTCAATTATTTACGTGTAGCATCACCCAAAAATCATTATGAAAATTATTTTTATAATAATATAGATATGACTTGGCTCCGTAAATGAGGACTCACACAAGAAATATATGAATCATGCTATAGATACATCATTGTTTACACTTAGCCCATGTTTGACACCCATTTTGTTTAAAAAATAATTTTTGGAATAGTCTAACTACCTTCTAACACACTAATTTTTATAAAGAGAATTTTTTGGTTTATGTATAATATTATTTTATTAATAGAATGTATGATTGAAATGAAGAATGAGAAATAGAATGAGAAAAAAATGGGTGTCAAATAGGGACTTAATTTGACATTTCAGTGAGTTGATAAATTTTTGAACATTGATTTTAACAATAATTTTTCTAATAAAGGCTAAATTTTTGACACGACTGTCAAACAAGATGTACATATTTAAATGTGCAGATATCTCAATCCAAAATGAACAAACATTAAGAATGTGTGATTTTATAGATAAGGTGAATTAAATAATCAAGAAAATTATTATAATTATTAAATTTCACAATATTGTCTGGCAAATAGGTTTAAGTGAATTGGCTTGGACGTCCATAATAAATTAGTCTTGTGCCAATCTGTCAATTGGACTATTCCCATATAAAAATCCGAACTCCCAAACTCCACCACCTTCCCCTCAACATTCCGGCAACCCCCACCAAACACCGCACCAGAAAAAAATGTAAAATGAAACTCAGATAACATATATAGATCATTCATATATATTTTTTACGTATTTTCTACATAAGTGCATGAAAATGGAAGGAAGATTTAATGAGAAAGATGACTCCACCAGTACTCAAGAAAACGTGGCTGATTCACCTCTTTCCGGCGGTGATGAAGCTACTGAAGAAGTTTACAAGCCATCGCCGAAAAAAAGGTTTGAATTTGATTTTTTTTTTTCCCTTTCAGTTTCGTCCTTTCTCTCAGATTCAGGAGTGTGAAACCCAAGTGAAGATAGATTCCTTTGTATTAGGAGAGGTGCAAACAAGAGGGTGGTGACAATACCAATTGGTGGCAGTGATGGATCCCGGAGTAAAGCGGAGGTGTATCCGCCGCCGGATTCTTGGTCCTGGAGGAAATATGGCCAGAAACCCATAAAGGGTTCACCTTATCCAAGGTAAATATACAAATTCAATTCATTTTTCTTGCATATGAACCCAACCAATCTTTCTTGTGGTTGCCGCCGGCCGGGGAGTAGGTGATGTTTTGTAATAAAAATTGAAGGATTACAAAATAAGATGTGAAGAGAAAAAATTTGATGAAAAAATTGATTGTATTTTAAACTGACGAATGATAGAATAACACATGTCATTACGTAATCCATTATTTGAATCTTGATGTCGTGTAATTGTAAAACATCCAAAACTGAATATAAATTAGATTATCGTAGCCGGCTTTGGAATAAAATACAGTGAATGGGGCACTTGGAGTAGTTGAAATTTCTTCACTTCACGCGCTTTACATTGGTTTATTTTCCACCACCTCTCCTCTAACAAAATTTGGGAATTTTCATTAGTTTTTTCTTGATAGAAGTGTGAAAAATTATTTCTTGTAGTTTTCTTTAACAAAAATGAATTATTCATTTCACGTAGATGATGAATTTGTTGTTAATTGGATGAGTGACCAAGCCACGTTTTTCAAATACGACCCATTCTTCGAAAGAAATTTTTTATGGGATGTCTATCCACAAAAAAATTTACTTCTAATTCTCCCCAGAAGCTCACACTGACGAAAAAGTTTGACACCCCTATGTCGGCTCTTCACCGACGGGGATTGTAGTATGTTTCAAGGATTGGGTTGTTCGCCCAAATTATACATTAAAATTTTTTAAAACTTTTGTGTATATATCGAGAAAATTTAAAAATCATGGGACGGTCATTGCCCTCTGCCTCATCTCTCCACGCACTTAATTAGTTCGATTTTGGAGTTTCATTGGTATCGAATTTCTCAAATATTATAGGTTCTTTGCAAGAGAAAATGATGTCCTAAGACAACACGAATGTGAATAAACATGAGTGCATAGCTTATACACGTCAAAGAAAATATATGTAATAATTTTTTTTTCTCATTTTTTGAAATCTAGTTAACTTAGTATATCATAACTTGTGAATAACAATCTCATAAAGCCCCCTTTTTTGGTTTAGCTAAAAATCAGATTTTCAGTATATTTTGATATAAATGGTTGAAAAATTAATAAAAGTTGTGAATCTCATTAAGCTCAGTTTGGATCTCAGTTTAATGAGATTTTTCTTCTTTTCTGATTAAGCTACAAACTACAATGAATAAAACAATTAAAAATTGGAAAGTCATATCAGCTTTGTTAGATTCCGTACATAAGTTAAACACAAATAGCTGTTATTGCTTACAAATTTGAATGAATTCAAATGAGGGGACCCCCAAAAGTTGAAAGTGAGGCATGAAAAATGAGGAAATAGATGGGGGCCAAAAAGGGGACAAAATATACTGTTCAAAATGAGTTTGAGAAAAAATAAGTTTTAAAAAAATGGGACCAAACACGGCACAATTATTTCACATTCTATTTCTTATCTTATATGTTAGAAAAATGTCTTTTTATTATAAAGTTAAATCTTCTTTGGCTAAATAAGACAAATGGATTTGTTTATTGAGTTGTCAATTGCATGTATTGCATGGCAGGGGTTATTATAGGTGTAGCAGCTCAAAAGGGTGCCCTGCTAGAAAGCAAGTAGAGCGGAGCCACCTTGACCCCACCATGCTCCTCATCACCTACTCATGCGACCACAACCACCCTCTCCCAACCACCACCAAATACCACCACCACCACTCTGCATCAACGGTGGCTGCCTCCACTTCCTCATCCGCCGCTACTCTTCCTGCCAAAATCCCTATGGAAGAATGTTCTACATTTGTCAACCAACCAGAACTAGACCCTGCTGATAACGGCTTCACCGACCTCGCGGGCGAGTTTGGCTGGTTGGCGGATGTTGGGTGTACAGTAGTAGACAGTCCTGTTCTTTTAGGTCCCACATGGACTCAAGCTGACTTGGAAGTATTCATGCCAATTGGAGAAGAGGATGAGTTTTTGTTCGGTGATCTTGGGGATTTACCGGAGTCATCAGTGGTTTTCCACCGTTGCAGTACGGAGACGCCATGCTGCGGCGGCACAGGATAAGTTATGTTGATGAATTTGATTTCCAATGTGATAAATAATTTGCCATGGTTATTATACATTTATTCTTCTCATCATCTGTTCTCTTTTCTAATGAAAAAATTTCCAGAAAAAAAAAAAAGAAAAATTCTCTTTTGCCCTTTTGAATTTTTAGACTAATACAAAGGTACGTTTTCCATGGTATAATATAATACCTTCAAATATCTGTGTTGTCTTTGTTAAATATGCATTCACGATATTCATATAGAGTATTGATCAAAATATAGTCCTTGTTTGGTGTACATTAAAATAAATTTTTTTAGTAAATTTTGATAAAAATTAATGTAATGTGTTATTAAAAAGTTATGGATCTCGTAAAATATGCAATTAAAATTAATTATTAACTTTAATTTGAAATTTAATCTACACCAAACAAGAATCTCACTCGCCAATACCTCAAATGATCTTACTCGCGAAGATGAGTTCTTCGTCCGCTCATTTTATTCTTTTACGATTAGTTTCGTCATCATCTACGATAATATCTTGTATTATGAGTTATTAGAACGAGTACTCAAAATTATTGACAATTGTAAAACTTGGTTCCCATTCTTAATTTAACAAAGTTTCACTTCGGTTTGTAAAGACAAAAATGCCCTTCAAACCTTTTTCCCGCGTCTCATGGGGATAACTAGGAAAAATGGTTAATTAAACATGCTTTTTGTACATCACCATTTAAATAATCTTTTGCAGATTGATAATATATTGAAAAGAAAGTAAAGGAGGTTTTTATTTTATTTTATATGGTTGATAAGATTTTGGCCTAATCAAATATCGCTACATCATTTATTAGCAAACTAATTTGTAAATTGTGGTGTACGTATAGTATGACCGTGCTGGACACCCTTGCAGTTGTTGGTATGATTGAAATAAAGAAAGGGTAGAGGTGATACTTATAAATCATTTATAATTAATTTATAAATTGTGCAACACCCATCTTGTTTTTCACTTGTTCCAAATTATAGGTCACTTTCATTATTGAAAGTATTGAATTTTTTTAATTTTCTAATATTTCCATATTTAGTGCCTGTTTGGGATAAATTTTCATCAAATTTGTAGTGAAAATCATACCTTTATATAATAGATGCAGCTACAATTATTGACCAATTTCAAGTAGAATAATCAGTATGCCCTTTTAACATTTAATTCAATATTCTTTAAAAAGGGACAATTTTGGTATTTTGTTTCCTATGGAGTCAAAAATGACAACACAAATGGGGATAAGTACATTTGAAATGGTCAAAAAATTGATTAAAATTTGTCGAAAGTTGCTTCCAGACAGGAGCTTAATTGACCTTGTTATCAATAAGTAAATTAATTATATTTAAATTATTATTTAATATATGAATACTAGGAAAAAAAATTATGTTTCTTGTACATTATGCCTGACATTAAGGTTGACATCTTGTTTATGTATCGAAAATCCAGTCATTGACTGTAAAAAAATGTTGTTGAAATCAATGCATCTGCCAACTCATATGATGTCAAATTTGATGTACGTGTAGCATGATTATAGGAAAAATGTAAGAAAAATTATATTTCCAACTATATTAATTATATTTTCTTAATAGGTGTGAAAATAGAAACAAACATATTTTTATGAGACAGATGTAGTATTATAAATGGTCGAGCAGCAAATTAATTAACCCCCTATTTGGTGGTCATTTTTTGGAAAAATATTAGTTTGAATAGTGATTTTTGGAGAATGTGAGATTAAAAAGTTTGAAAATTTTTTGGGTTTATGCGTATAATATTTTATTATGTGAATGTATAGTTAAAAATAAGTATATAAAAAAATATTTTTGAAAGAATAAAAGAAAGAAATGACTAATGAAAAGGTGGAAAATAGTAAAGGTGGGCCGTGGGACTAAAAGTAGCCCGACAGGCCCAACTGGCAGCCATGCCAACGTTTAATTGGTCCACATCCGTACACACCAGGATCGAGGAGAGTAGAGAAAGAATTCACGTGCCAGGAGCGTGGTTTACTGCCAGCTGGATCGATTCCAAAGTGGCTGGCTCAAAACCTTATCCACTTTCTTTTAGAAGCAATGATAATCTCACCTCTCAAAAATTATAGATTCCCCAACCCCAAAGCAAACTAAGGCCCTGTTTGATGGGAATTCTCAAAATTCTACAATAAATCAATTATCATTTTCAACCACACATTTTTCAATAAAATAATATTTTCAATCACATCAATAATTTTTTTTCTTTTTCAACCACACATTTTCCATCGTATCACTATTCATAATCAATTCTTCCTCCAAAAATTCCTCCCAAACAAGCACTAACTGGGATATTTAACTAGATACTAAGTTCTTGTCAATTAGTAGCTAGTAAGGATCGTGAAAATATTGGTTATGTGAACAACTGCATCACACTATTAGTTGTCAAATTTTTTGCTTGTAAGGGTAGATGCTAACAATACATGAAATAACACTTCTGACAAAATTATATTAATTGATCGTAATGATATCGTGGAAGTGTTGATTATGCGAACAACTGAACCTTCTGTATCAAAATTTATAATAGCTGGCCTTGACGACTGAAACTAACGACTATGGAAGAACATTTTAGCCAAGTTCGTGATTGATGTTCGCATATCATGAAAATGATGATTATGCAAACAGTGTAAAATATTATTAGCTGTCAAAATATTTAATATATAATTGGCATTTGAGTATCGAGTAATGATACTGACGATACCATATATGCGAGAACACTTCTAGTCAACTCATGTTGATTGATTTTAATGATATGATGAAAATGCTGATTATACACTTGAGATGTTATTCTATGGCACCATTGTATGCTCTTTTAGACTATAGAGTCAGTGTGTGAATTTCTATTTAATTTATATATTTTTCACTTTATTTTATGTCGATTGATTGTGCGAACAACCATAGACAATTATAAAGTGTCAAAATTTCTAATACATAGTTGGCCTTGACGGCTGAAACTGATGGTACATGCAAGAAAATTTCACGCAAGTCAATTGACGGTAATGATATCGTTGAGATGTTGATTACGTAAATATTTGTGATCACTATCAGTAACTAAAATTTCTAATATGCAATTGGCGTGTGAGGGTGACATTGACTATACATGCAAGAACATTCTAGCCAAAATATATTAATTGATCTTAATGATATCATGAAAAGTTTTAAAAATTTTAATACACAATTGGCCTTTACGCGTGACACCAATAATACTTTGCAGGAATGCACTATCATGTTAGTAATGATATAGTGGAAATGCTTATTACACGAATAATAGTGAGTGAGTTGAAGTAAAAAATAATTTTCTGAGGATGTGTGGTTAAAAAAAAAAAATTACTTGTCTACAGTAAAAATTCTCGTATATAATTGGGCTGTGAAGGTGAATCAGAAAACACAGGTAAGTTTAGAGATTCTTCTATTTGTTGGCACGTTTTGTTTTACTTACTGCTATTATCAAACTTGCCTACATGAAAATAAATACATTTGCGAATTCTTGAATTTTCATATCCATTACTTTCCTTATACATTGTAGTAGATCATTAATTCATTACGTTTTGCACGTAACAAACCATGAAATGGATTTTCTTGTTCTATATGCTCGTGTGAAACCCTAGAATCCCATCTCAAATTCACTCTTAAGATCGAGTCTTTTACACAAGGGGGTCAAGATTCTCATTCAATTCAATCTCAGAGGTCAGTTTCAGTTTTCAATTTCTGGGCTACGCGTTCCGATTGGAATTTCTTGATGCTGGGGTTTTTGAAAAGTGGGATTCTTTTTGCTCCATCGCATGTTCTTACCGGCTAGAGAGATACTGTACGTGAGTTTCTGTTTGATTAATACATTTTTTGCTTTGTTTTATTGATTTCATGAGATCAATCAGGGAGTTTTGGATCTTATCTGATGTTTTGGATTTGGCTATTGATTTATGGTTACGTGATTGGAAAACATGGTTTCTTATGTTGCAGATAATTTGAACAATGTCCATTTGAAGAGAGAGAGAAAATTCTGGGGTTTGGGTTTCGTTTTGAAAATTTGAGGGAGTGTTTATTAGTTTTTGGAGGAGGAATAAAAGAGAAATTTCGGCAAAATGATGTCAAGATCTTATACCAACCTTCTGGATTTAGCATCTGGGAATTTCCCTGTAATGGGCAAGGAGAAGGAGCGGAAGCGGTTCCCAAGGGTAATGACTGTCCCAGGGAGTATAACCGAGCTAGATGATGACCAGACTAATAGTGTTGCATCAGAAAACCCATCTTCAGTTGCTGGTGAAAGAATGATTATCGTGGCAAACCTTTTGCCTCTGAAAGCAAAGCGAAGGCCAGACAATAAAGGGTGGAATTTTGGTTGGAATGAGGATTCCTTGCTTTTGCGGGTAAAGGATGGCTTGCCAGAAGACATGGAGGTGCTGTATGTTGGGTCATTGCCTGTTGATGTCGATCCAATTGAGCAGGATGATGTAGCCAGTTATATTTTGGAAAAATTCAAGTGCGTCCCTGCTTTTCTTCCACCTAATCTTCTGGGAAAATATTATGATGGCTTTTGCAAGAAGCAGTTGTGGCCCCTTTTCCACTACATGTTGCCGTTTTCAGCTGATCATGGATGTCGGTTTGATCGTTCAATGTGGGAAGCCTATGTGTCCGTGAATAGGCTGTTTTCTCAGAAAGTGGTTGAGGTGCTAAATCCCGAAGATGATTTTGTTTGGATTCATGATTATCATTTGATGGTATTGCCCACATTTTTGAGGAGGCGGTTTGTCCGACTGAGAATGGGTTTTTTTCTTCACAGTCCATTTCCTTCATCTGAGATATACAGGACACTTCCTGTTAGAGAAGAAATCCTTAAGGCCCTACTCAACTCTGACCTTATTGGCTTTCACACCTTTGATTATGCTCGGCATTTCCTATCCTGTTGCAGTCGGATGTTGGGCTTGGAATATCAATCTAAAAGGGGTTATATAGGACTAGATT